GTCCACTCCGAATCAAAACACACGTTTACTAGAATATACTTAACAAATGAAGTGTGTAAAACGATTGCATGGCTCTTAAGAAAACTCAAAACCTCTGCTAAAACTTGTGCAGGCCAGTCAATTCATTTGTTATTCCATGCTGACATATCTCCTTTGGCGTTATTAAAAGGTAGCAATACCGACCTCGACAACCTCCAGAGAACAATTCGAACGCTATGACTCAACACCGAAAACATTCATCCCCATTCAAGTACTGAGCGTTTTACCCTTTCCAAGGTCGCGCAAGGAGGCCGAGGTTGCTAGATCTCAGTAAATCTACACAAGCTCTCAAATGTGCTCACTCAGAAAGATACTTCTTGGAACATTGTGGGAGAGTTTCAGGCAAGCAGTGAGCCGCGTTGATAATACACTATAGTCTCTGAACTTGAAAAAAGCCATTGATCCGCCTGTTCAACCAATCATTGAAACACGGCAAGAGCAATGATAACTGTGATGGAAAGGCAAAGGCACTCATGGAAAGGTCCCTCACTGAGCTGAGTAAACCAGAAGTCGACATCTCTGCCGTCGCACGCACTGGCTCCAGCACGGGGATCTCTTTGCCGGGAGACAGAAGCCTTCATGATAGCTATCCAGGACCAAGTGTACCCACATGAACTATAAAAAACACTTTCTGAGAGATTCTACCATTCATTTCCGGACACGTGTAGAAGAGTGTGAGGCTGCAGCGAAGACTATCCAATTTAAATGACAAGTGGATGCTAGCAGCCACCCACAGGTGGAATACAAAAAGAGACAGATTGAGTGGCGAAAGCAGGTACACCAATTATTGGCGTTGAGAACGGGCTACTCGCCACTTCCGCTGCCGTATTATTAAATTGTGCCTCAGAATGTGCTTTGAAAAGTAGTGAGCACACACTCTACTGGATCGTTCCATTATCACTGACAGACATGTCGGCGGCAATAGACCAGATTTAACGTACATTGATAGAAACCAACAGCAGGTTTTCCTTATCGATATATCAATACCCAATACCCCTAACATATCGGAAATAATCAAGAGAAGATCCAGAAGTATACCAATCTCGCCTATGAAGTCGCAACTCAGTGGAACTTCAGTAAAGTGACGACTGTGCTATAATAATATCAGCTACGGGAGTGATCCCGAAAAATGACACTGCGGCACTGGAGTGTCTTCACTTGGATACCAGGAATGTATATAATATGCAAAAGACAGTAATTTTGAATACATGCCGTATTGTCAGAAGCCATCTGAACCTTCAGTAAAGCAACCACACACCTGGTCATCATACCTGTGTGTGGTTGACATACCGACCAGTAGATACTGCGAATAATGCTAGAGTAAACAATAATAATAATAATAATAATAATAATAATAATGATAGAATTTGTCTTCAAATAATTTTTTTATTTGATCATTTTAAGGAAATGTTCGTTGCATGAAAATTTGTTGCCCCAGGAAGTTGTAAGTGTAGTAGTAATAATTGTGCTGCGTTTTTTGTTTTTCTGTTAAAGTGACATTGATTTCTTAATTTTGTTGGTTATTCTTGATCACCACAACTTCCAGTTTTTGTAAATTTGCTGTTTCAGTAAGTTAAACTTGGGTTTTGTATATATTTGATGTGTACCTTAAAAACATATTTCATGTATTTTGAGTGTCAGCAAAGCAGATACGTGAAATGTTACATGCAAACTGGACAATTTGATAAGCCAACTAGTTTTCTTATTGTAATCTGTTCAAAAACGTTTTTGAAATAAGTTTGAATGCAATTTTTGAAAACAATAGTTGTTTTCTGAAAAATAGTATTTTTTGAGAAAAATGTAGATTTGGGATACTTTTTGCTTGCAAAAAAGGCAATGTATATTTTTTCTTAGAAATGGCTCCAAATGTTTTGTTAAGGCAGAACCAAAGACAGTTAAAAATTATGCAAGTTCCTTTTTCCTTGATTTTCCTGAATTTTTAAAAAAATGTAAAAGGTAGAAATAATGTGAGAAAGTATGTAATGTTTAAGGATCACTACTTCAACGTTCAATTCGGGGATGAATGGTTCTCAGGATGTGGCAGAGTGCATTGAAACAAAAAATCTTCTAACAACAGAAGATATCAAAGGTAGAAGCAGAAATCAAATTCGATTTGTTGCAAATTCCCGATTCCTCTGTACAGCGATTTTTCTAACTCGGACCCTACTTCACGGTGCATTATGTCAGTCTTTCTCGGTCGCGCCGCTAGACGTCGCATGATATACCAGCGCTGGATGCGGTCGCTATGAGATGACTTCTAACGGTACGACCGAGAAAGACGCGAAATACAGTGACGTCATCGTGAAATGCGGCCTTAAGGGGCAAAGTTAGAAGTATCGCAGGATAATTATGCGTGTATTCGTTCATGTGTCTAAAGACAAAGCTCGTACTCGGCAGCTATCAGAGAAAATGTTTCGATGGATTGATGCATCCAAATAAATCAACCATGATGGAAATTCATGGGTAATTTCCTCCGGCGCACAAATTTTTGCTACTTCTGAGCATCACCCGTTCGCGTCACGAACCACGTGACCACAGCACGGGCCCTTCGTTTGAAGAGCCAGACCAGGCGCTGGCCCCCATAAAGCATGGAGAGCGAGCAGTTTTGAGAAACATTTTGAAAATGGTACAAAGTGACAATTTTCAACGGTAACCTAACAATAACACGATGAATGTGTACAAAATGCAATATTTAAAAAAAAGTAGTATAAATCTGTTTCAATGTGTTGTAACGAGGTGATAATTTTGGTATGTGGCTGCATCTAATATTGTGACGCAAAATGGAGCCTGAAGCTCTTTGGCTGAAGTCGATTGCAATGCGCAAGAGCCCCCCTGAAATCAGCTATCAAGGGTCATTAGTCCGGTTTGCGTAGTGAATGTTTGATCGCGGGAGGAAGCGGTGCTCTTCGCCGATGAGATCAGGCGCCAACCTACGCATTGCCTTCCCAGGGATTCCCCCCCCCCCCNNNNCCCCCCCCCCACGTCTCCCCTCCAGCGGGGTACCGCCCCATCCGGGACAAGCCTTAAGCTCCTGGCCGACCTCTCGTCGCTGTGGTGCTTATGAGTGAAGTGTGTGCTTAAAGAGGTGAAGGAAAAACAACGCGGTCCGATTGTTAGGGGGTTCCTTCGGCGTTCACCTGATACTGATCGGTGAAACCTCGAAAACGTCCCGATCAGAGCATCCGAGCGCTCGAATTCTTTTCCAAGCGACAGGATTTAAGTGTAGGTAGTGTCGAAAATCTTACCTCCGTCGGGACGTCGAACCTAGGTCCTCCCGCCCTCGGCAGTGACATCGGTTGGCGCCCTGAGACACCTCCCCGGTGATTGATTGCTAAGGTCGTTGGTTCGGAAGTGGTGGGTGTGTTTTGCACGCGGGAGGGGACGATGTTCTTCACACGCTGCATGGTGAGATCCATCGCTGACCTTCCGTCGGCTAACCGACATAGTCCCCAGCCAGGTACCTCCCACCAGCTGGTGTTTTAGGTACGGCTCCGGCATTCGGAAAACGACCGATCACAGCACCGACCGCTTGAAATCACGTCCAGACAGCGACCGATTTCGATCTAGGTAGTGTCGAAACGCCTTCGACTTGAATCTGAATACTCCCACTCGCTGCTGACAACGGCAATGATGGATCTGAGCTAAACTACGCTTGCGGGAAAACTTTCGATTCGTTACGTCTCGCGTCTTATGTTCTTCCTAGAAAATATTAATTTTCTACTTAACGTGCAAATTCCAGAGATTTTCTTTGATTTACATGCATGTATCTGCATTTAATTTTTTAAGTGTTAAAGTTGTACAAACCCAAATCTTATTTTCGGGTACTGTTTACAGTTGTAATCTCTCGTCAAAATATATGAACCAGTCCAACTGATGAAAACGAGCCACGTCCTAGTGGTTTATGGGCACAACAGAGGAGCACATTGCCGCTCTATTCACCATAACCAGCAACCAAACAAATATAATGAACGAAAGTTCTAAAATATTTTACTCGAACTATTTGATCTCCAGTGCAATGATCTTACCCCGTGAACTTGGCATATTGACAAGGAGCCCTCAGGTTTTGCATAGTCTGCTATGCATAGCGAGAAATTTAAACACTTTGAAGATTGAAGTTCCCAGTAAAAACTTATATTGACACCTGAAGGTGTTGACAGTATGATTGACATGTCGTCCAAGTCACAGTCGGATTGGAAAGAGTACCTAATTATTTTCCTTAACACACTTGTACTTTGCGCTCCCGATAGCCGCACTCGGGAGATCTGTACTTGGAAAGTCTTCAGTAACTATTCTTTCAGTGAAATGCAAAGTGCCCGATTGTGATTAACGGGGACTGCGCGAACTCTCCCCAGCAGAGGCCCACCAGGACAGAAGGCGTCACTGAACATCGTCCACCTCGTCCTTCACGCGCAGGTTTGCTGCGTGCGATCTTTCATTCAACAGGCCAGCCAGCCAATAAGACTCTGTAAGGCCACAATCTGTCTTCCATGGCCCCAAAATCGTAAGTCTTCCTGACAATTTGGTGCACAGTGAGCAACGGAGGCGCCTACTGCATCCACGTCAAGGAAATGCAACGTCCGTTTCACCCAAGCGACTCCACATCCGCAACTCCCCTAAGCCTTTCCTTTCCCGCCGATGCACGTGCAGGGATTGTTTCTGGCATATCCGTGCTCCACAATTCGCTGATTGCTCCCGAATGAGAAGTACTCGTTGCATTTTATTGTCGCGCTTCCCGTGCGTTGACAGAATGAACCATGTAATGAAGCAAAAAATCTTATTCTGCTTCCACCACATAAGCTTTGCAAATACTGCCTAATGATGGGAAAAACACAAATAAGTTATAAATAATATTTACATAACTGTTGAAAAGAACATTGTAATCACATATATAGAAGTAGGTGATATAGAGTGATAAATCAGTTCCGAAGGTGTCTGCGTTGAAACTCTTCTCTTGCTTTCAGTAATTACTCTATCTCTCATGATGAAAGCTATTCTGTGTATGAGTGTTCTCTTCATCTACCTTGCAGCATCCACCAATGCTCAGGTGAGAAAATCGTCTTTCATCAAAATGATCTACTTTAGAAAAGTTTGCCTTACCTCATAAATGACCTGAAAATGTTTCTATGATATCTCCTAGAGAAACATTCTCTTCCAGTTCAACAAAAAAACTGTCACTTTTTCAGAGTATTCAAACAAAATATTTTGCTTTTGTATTCTGAAATAAACTTTAAAGTTATATAAATTAATAAACTCAAAGATAAGTATGTCAATACATGCTCAAAATGTCACAACTTCTAAAGTAAAACTGAAATATTGAACCTCCAATCCATCCAACGCATTAAAATTTGTTTTAAGTAAAATTAACCTCTGAATCCCCCTGTGCGTGGAGGTACGTGGATTTTCAAGGAGCGGAAAATCCACAGGAGCCATGTCACTCTTGGGGCACCTAAAAGAACTCTGGCATATGCTTGGCAAAATTAAATCCCTGAGAGAATATCCCGCCCCAAAGATATCGCATATTGTCTCAACCAGATAGTTCGCATATAGTGAACTGAGACAGACAGCTGGCGGAAAAAGCGAGTCACACCGCAGGCGTATCAAGGGATCGCCCCGAGGCTCGTCAGTGATGCGCTTCCAAGGAAGCCTGGGTGATAAAAGGATTCCAAGGAAGCTGGCGTCAAACTGCTTTGAATATTCTCTTGGGGGTAGCACAATGGATAGACTACTACTACTAATATTCAATACGTAAGTAAAAAACGGTTTTATGTTCCTCCACCTAAGCCTCCTCCCTACACACACACAAACGCACACATTCATTGATGCTGATGGGGTTACCTACCACGAGTGAGTGTTCGATTCCCGGAGGAAGTATTACGTTGCCGGTTTTCACGGCTATCTTCCAGTTCATACTGTCGTGCGATCATTTGAAACTTTTCAAAGACAGAGAGAGCCAAATAAACGGTGTAAGGGATTGTGTCATGCTTACCGCAGGTTTCCCGAGGTCATAGTAGGAAGGCTGAATGGCCATAGCAAGCCATATCATCACGAGACTTTCGTGCCAGAGAACATACATTCTGCCCTCCACCATCAGCTACTGCACGCTATATAATTACAGCAATGGTGTCTTAGGTACATCATCAGCCGACTAAGTTATTCGTCAGGCGAGTCTGTTCTTCGATGCAAGATTTCTTTGCCTTCTCATGTATAAAAAAAATCCTGTTTCAAAGGTGGCAGAGGATTAGTGTGAATATGTAATCATTGAGAAGACTATAGAATTATAATTTTTATATTAATAGATGGTTGATTTTTTGCTTGCTAGCTCTACACAATGTTGGCTAATGTAGTTTGTGGCTAATACAACTTTCCTTCACTAATTAACACGACGGTATTGTACAACTATTTCTCACTTCTACAGTTGCGACTGCACGACAGTGCTGTAAAAATGCAAATATGATCGTGAAGTCTCTTAAAATTTTCGAACAATGAATAACGGAAGACACGAATATTTAAGATACACTTCGGGAATATATATTATATTACTTCCATACCTAATGGCTTTTGAAATCGCTAGTTTATCTTTAATGACGGACTATTTCTCGTGAAAATGACACTTAAAACATTTGAATAATTTATTGAAAAGGATGTAGATTAAATTTAAAATAGTTCATAAGGAATGACAAGAAAATTTGAGTCTTACAACAGAGTTGGGGAGATATCCTATTAGTTTTACAGGTTTTCGACTTTTAAACGCTGTGTTATCTATCACGACAAAACACAATGCCCTATTTCAAAATAAGAAATAGTCTCGTTGCATAGGCGTAATAATATGCTTCGAATGGTGGTTATATGAGTTTATATTTTTTTATAACGGTTGACAAGAAATTTTCTGTCCTATAAAAGTGAGAAGTAAGAAAGTTTCCTATAGTCCTACCTATTTTGGTCTGAAATTCTCTTCGCTCTAGAAGTTGTTTTATCTGTCATCATGAAGACTATTTTTTGTACGAGCATTATGTGTATCTGTCTTGCATCCTTCGTTTCTGCTCTGGTGAGAATAACATTACTTGGTGGTAATCGTTAAAGTAATCTATCTCGTAAAACATGACACACCCACGCGCGCACTGTGTCTATGTACTTGACCTTCCGAGACAATCGAACGTTCGAACAGCCTTTAAAATTTAAGTCTCCGATGGTTACACTTCACATTTTACTACCTGGTCATAGGTGTAGTTTGCCGAACAATTTTCAACTTTTGCAGGTTTCGAAAATTCAGAGTTTTTGAAAATCGGACATGCGCCATTTTTATTTGCTTACTTTGCTCTATCGAATAAAAAAACTCCCCAAAATTAGAACCCGTTTAAAAAGAATTGAAAATGTCAATGAGGTTTCATGTAAAGAACGACTGAAAATTAAAATATACTGTTGAAATTCAAGTAGTTGCAACATTAAGCAGATGGATTAGGAAATATCACTGTTCTAGAAAATTCTGCTCACAGTTTAGCGCCTAGTGGTGTTCGAAGGGACGGAGGGACGGGTTAAACAAATTTTTGGACATCAAGGGCCAACAAAACATTGATTCTAACTACATAGTGTGTTCGAAGAAGAATTATACTACATAGAGCAACAAGAATTGTCCTCTTTTTGGTGTCAGGGCTTTACAATACGAATTGTTCTGCTTAAAAATCACCGTTCGGTGCAGCATTAGGTAACTTCATCTATACCTCGTCTGTGCTAGAAAGAAAAGTTTTTTCTCTTACTCAATAACCATTACGTATTATCAAATTACTAAGAAACGTTTTTGAAGTATCAAAATATATGTAAATCACACAAGAGTGGGGATAAGGACAGAAAGAAGAATGCTCTAAATACTCCAAAAAACAAACAACAGTGCAATGAAGTACTAAATGAGTTTATTTTTTACATTTTTATAATGTACTTTACTTTATATTATTTAGATTGTCTTTTTCGATTTCTTTATATTGATAAATAAAAAAATACTGGATAAATAGTTATGTTACAACATTCATATTTCAATCATTTAAAAATTATAAAGAGTAAATTATTAAATCAAACATTGATTAATCTGTTCAAAGCATTACTAGAAAAACATAAATGTAACCATATATTTTATTTTCAGCTAAAATTGAATGAGGTGACACAGCAGATCGCAACGGAATGTGCTCAAAATCTTACAAAACCTGCAAGTAAGCTTTGCATCTTATCACTCGTATCTTCTGAATAAAGTTCTAAAAATAGTACAAAAATCTCATGCCAAGAGTTTAATGGGGTCAGTAATTGTGAGGTTATTAATGTTGCAAAAAAATTGTATGTATGATATAAGTGTTTTCGTGCTAATTTATATGTATTCCTATATATTGCATTTATGAATAAAGTATTTACTAAAAGTTCAATACATTTATTCATCAAGTACTTGCTGCAGGAGTAAATGGATCGCGGTTTACAATAGTGTTGACACAAACGAAAAAAAATGTGTTCAACCCTTTCATTATATATTTTATCGCTTGCTTCCCCCTCAAAAAATAAATATTTTACATAAAAGACATTTTTGGATAAGACAAGTGATTAGGACGTCGTGTAAAAGCAAACGAATTCTTTCTTTCATTTCTAAGCAACATAATTTCTCAATATTTCCTCTATTTAAAAAAATACAAACCTTTGTTAAGAAAAATCATAAGGCAGCCTAAAATCATTTAACATAACACAAACACATTTTAATCACAAATAATAAAACAAAATCAATATGGAATTAGTAAAAAATTCTACTAAATCCACTAGAAACATTGTAGAGAATGTTTTAAAGGGAACGATAGAGCAGGGAAAAAACGAAAGGTGAGGAGGAACAGTGGATAGTCTTCTTAGCCAATACTTTTCGAGAATTGCTACCGCTTCCACTACAATATGAACAATATTAGTGTTGTTTCTGTGTTTCGGTGATTCAATGTGTGTACCAATAGACTCTGCACTGATTATTTGAAGGCACACTCAAGGTCATCGTGAAACACATGTATGCTCTTCGATTTCAGGTGAGTTTCTAGAGAACTTCCTTGCGGGTAACCAAATTGCATTTACGGTTGAAATTCAAAGAGAAGAGTACCAAGAATTTTATGGCTGTTTCCTGGGTAGATCGAACGTGGTAAGTAGGATTTTATTCATCATTAAAATAAATGTCAGATGGTTAGTATTGTGGCGTCGTTCGGAAATGATCACTCACAGAAATGAGCTGTGTGTACATACATTTATACTCAAGACATTTCAAGTATTTGCGGGCTGTGAGGTTGCTCTTGCTGTCGCGACGGACTGGCTCGCCGTCTGGCTGATGCGGCCCCTCTACTCCTGCACTTCACTAGGCCGAGTCTTGTGACATCGACACCCAGAGCCGCGCCCTTCCGCCTCCTGGCGGCGGAACCAGGAAGCATGTCCCCTGTGGTGTCTGGTGTACATTGCGTCCCTGCGACTAAACTACGAATAATTCCGATATATCGATTACAACTCGCACAAGAAGCAAGTAATCAAATAATGTCAGATATGCGTTTTTTCGATTGATTTTAAAATGATATTAATATGTCATGTATATGGTAAACCACATCTAAAAACCCCATTTTTGCGTTTAAGAAAAATCGCAATATTTGCCTGAGTAGTGAGCTCAAATTACTTTCTAAACCAAAACACGTCGTGAGTTTAAAATATAAATGTAAAACAAATCGTACCCTGAGTGACACTTGATCCCACTAAGCTATTACATGGTATTGTATCTCATCAGACTGGATATTCATCTGATAGAAAACGACATACGTCGCTACTTAAGAACATCATTTCTATGTAGTGATACTTATTAATGAAAAAATGTTATAAGAATTTTATTCCGAGACTTGTTATTTCAGACAAATGCTGACGGATCGCTAAACAAGGCTAACCTTGGAAACGCACTTTACTCTGCTTCTGGGGATTCAGAAGCTTCAGCAACAGCTTCTGCCGCAGCGGACGCTCTCTATGATACTCTGAACGCAAGTAGGTATTATTTACTTTGTTATACATAGTTTATGATTAATTATTCTTTTCATTTTCCCGGAAAACTGTTATATTGGGACAAGACTGCGCATTAACTGCTAATAAGTGCTATGTATCTGTGTGTAAATGTGTTGGTGTAAAAAGGTCTAATGTCAGTTTTGTGCTGTAAAGCCATTTCACCAGGGCAAGAAAAGCCAAAGTTGAGAGGTCGAGCCTGATTTCACCATCATACATTGGCACCGATAATTTGTCATTTCGATGGTGTAAGACAATCCCGGCGTAACCCTCCTTTAGCTTCAATTTTTGTCAATGCTCGCGACGGTGCCTTTCAGGCCTTCGGTCTGGGACTCGGTGTTGGAGGTAACAGGGGTTCTCGCTCAGTCATTTGTCTTTGAACCTGAGGATTCTCGAAATGCTTAACTTCTGTGACTTCACGGAGCTTATTTAAGCGTTTCGGCTGACGTCGCCGGCCCTTGTAATGTTATTTATATAATTTAAATCGAAAGACAGCCGTTGAAAACTAGTAACCAAAGTGCATTTCTTCTTCAGGAAAATACAAAAACGTAATTGAATGGGTTATTTTGAAAATCCCGCAAGGCAAGAATTGTAACGTTGTGGGAAAATAAGAAAAACAATAATTAAGAACATAAATAACTCTTTTATGGTTTTTAATTTCTGAAGCATCAATCTCGATTGAGAATTCCAATCTCAGTTCAATTGAAGATTCGATTTCCAGCAGTATGTATGTGTGTTCTATTTAAAAATAATATAGAGAAAACGGTGATGATTTCTGTTCGGTTCATTAGTTTCAAAAAATGAAAACCAAGAAGACAGAGGATTCTGTACGGCAGCGGAGGGTACGGGCGCCAGCTGAGCTCCACCCTCCGCAATCACTTTCATTGCCCAGCAGCAACACAGTCCGATGTTCCGGTCATCATCCACGTAGAAAATCCAAACGTTTGAATGGAAATTGCTGTTTGCAAATGAAGTTTGTGATTTGTGCTTTATTTCACAGAACCACGAAGGAAGCAAATGATGCTCAGAGGTACGAGTATGTGACGTAGCTTCCCAACGCTCCCCAATCCGTGCGTTCTTTGGCTTCTAGCAGTGTATTTCGAATATTATATCGTAGTCCATGACATTCACACAAAAAACAATGTTTTTTTTTAAAATACGATTTCAAATGCCGTGAATCTCTTGTACTGAAGAATCGTACAGCGCACGAGAAAAGTCCCTCCGCACTGGCGCTTTGTTTGTGAGAGCGCCTGCTACGGAAATTATGTTGGTAGCACCAACTGCAGCTCGAAGACGTTAATCGCGTATTCACCACAGCCATTACAGGTGCTGAAAGTGTTGTCCCGTTCACTTGGTTTCCAGTGATCTGCAGTCCGCCAACGTAAATGTCTTTTTTAAAAGGCTCTGATTTGGCTCCTTTCGGAGAGACTTTTCCGGCGCTCTGTATTAACGAAGAAATCTGTTTGTAATGTTTCCACATTGTGTAAGTTGTGCGATATTAGAGAGATCTTAGAGAAGACATATTTTCATCCCCTTTGTCGCTCTGGCGTCCTCATATGTTGGTAGCGCGCTCTTGTAGTGAATTCTCGCACTTATCCGTTTCGTTTCAGATCCTTTAACGGGTGCTATAGGTGCCAGTTCTCTTGCGACGAGTGCAGCTTTTAAAATTCTTGGGCAAGAATTGAACACCGAACTTGTAAGTAGTCGAATAATCGGCTAACAAGAAAATAATGTAGTTTTGAGAATTTGAGAGCTATTTTTATTCCGAACATAGAACAATTTTTCAATATTTCACTTTAAATGTTTACATTAAAGGAATATGAGTGTTTAGTATCATAACATTCTTTCTAATTTAGTAATGTGATATTTTCAAAACTGCATTTCTAGTGTGCAAATAATTCTGCGTCTTACGTGGTTTCTAGGTTTTGCTAGTGCTCTCTGTCAATGCATATTCTTATGAAATAATAAAATTTCAAAATAGAAAATAAATGCAATGCATTTTTTAAACATTTTTAAAATCTACAAGTAGTTGTATAAAGTTATTTACTCTGGTTATGTAGAAATTAAATACTGCTGAGTTTCTGAGAGAACGTTAGGAAGATCAATGTAAATATCATTGGTTGTTCATAAAATCGTTTTTAATAATAACGATGTAAAATGCGATTACGTTACAATATTCCCGCTATTTGTGCGAAAGTATCTAATTGTAATAATCTTTATATTTCAGAGTTTGCTTGATATCCACTAATGAAAAACCAGTAAAGAATTTCTCTTTAATTTCTAACAAGAGCGATGTTGTTCATTGCTGTTGTGAGAAACTAAGGAAAAATGAATCAGGCAAGAAAGAAGAAATTACATAAAAAGTAGTCACAAGCACGAAAAGTAGAGACATTATCTCCAACTGTCTTCTCAAATGTTCAAGTATATTCATCTATAAACACACCTCTATGCACTTAAGACAGTTCCTCTCTGTTAATTAATTGAAATATTTACAGTTTTGTCGATACGAAATAAACATAGTATTAGATTACAGAAACAATTATTCATATTGATTTATTCGCACCCTCTCCCAACAAATTAATATGTAGACACCTACAAAATAATGATTAAAGCAACATATCAATATGAATAACGCGAAAGTCATGTTTTTCTGTCAAGGCATGTCATCCTCTTCTGGTCAGCCATCCATCGACCATGAATTAGTCAGCAAGGCCTCCTGTGATAAATCTCTCTGAAGAGCTCTTTCGTGCGCTGTAAGGCTTTTGTAGCCGCGTTCTCCGCAAATATAATGTGTATTGGGGGCCGATTCGACGCTCTTATCGCTGTTCTGGGCGTAAGAAACCTGCTCCTGAATTACACAGATCTGACAGTGCTAGAGTCGCTACACAGAATTATGAAATAACAATGTTCAGAAGAAATAAACGAAAACCTGGAAAATGTGCCAAGTCTCAGCTGACCATACCTCAGACCTGGAATGGTCATTAAATCTCTGAATTCTTTGTATACGCACGTATCAGAAAAGGAAGGCCATTCAATACGGGATGCCACTTTTATTTTGTTGGATGTGATGGTTCAGAACAGAAATAAGAATGTAATATGTTAAATAAGAATTCAAACTTATATTCAACACAACGACAAAATATATTCATAATAAAAAAAATATGGTTTTTGAAGAAAGTAACTAATCATATGCTTTAAACGATGGTGAAAATTTAGGTAAACATAATATATGTGGGTTTATTTGAATTTGTTGCTCTCGCAGCATGCATATACCTACGCCAATGAACATATACAATTGCATTTATACCGTTTACATTTATATATATATTTATATACACGAATTTTTTAATATATGTCAAAAGTGACTTACTTAACGGTGGGAAAATATTTTCATGCCGTACTGATATTCTGTTATTTATAATTACAACACTCGTAAAAATCACGTTCATCAAGTGTCAGTATCAACAGCTCACTATCAGAAATCCACATGCAGTACATGTATGTTACTTTACAACGCATTGCAAGATTACATTAAGCAATTGAAGTCGGCGGATAACAAATTTAAGGTAAAAGTAAAATCTGTTCTGACACTAGTGTTTCTATACAATTAGACACTATACTGATTATCAAAAAGAAAAATATTGTTTCTTTTGATAAAACAGTGATATATATATATATATATATATATATATATATATATATATAATTATTTTTATTTATCTTGTATAACTTTTTTAAAAGACTTAATATGTTTGTAACAAATAATGTACTTCAGCTTCCGTCAATGACCCCCATCTCGATCATGTTTTTATCCACTTTCCCTAATCCATTGAGCAAATGCCGAGACGGCCCCTTTTGTTGCTTCTGGACGAAAATGTACCTTCACTATGCGCACGTTTTGTTGAACTCTCCTTTGGCTTGTAATGGTAGAAATAGAGGTAAGGGTGAGTTAGTATTTTGTTAGCAATGCGGAAAAATCATACTTTCAATTCATTCGAAAACGAAAATGCCTATTTTTTGTAATATTGCTAATGTCGCGCTTTTTTAAAATTTATTTTTATTTATTTATATTACACTTTTACTCATCTTTCAACTATTTACAGTTAGAATTACGGGAAGGGGTTCTAGAACACAAGAAAACGTGCGCAGTAAATCTTCTCCCCCATTCGTCAAACACAGATTTTACTGTTTATTTTGTTGACTAAATAAATGCCCTAAATGTTGGGAGACGAAGCACAGAGCCTGTGTCGGTGTGCGCGTTGCCCCGCCGATGGAAGATACCTGGCTGGGGAGAACTCGGGTACCCGACTGTCGGTGTGCGTTTGAACGCGCCATCCACCGCCACCTCCCTCGCACTACACTTACGGGACTAACGGCCTTAGTAGTTAATGAGTCTGTCGCCCACGCGCCGACGTGTCAGAAGGCGCACGGCGGCAACGCAGTCCGAGGACGGCAGCGGGCGCAGCAACGCAGGCACCAGCCACTCGTTTGGCATTCAGCAGCGGACCGCCTCGTGGCTGAGGGGGCTGGCGCGCGGGGGCGGCTTCGCAAGCGCAGCCAACGGACGCTTCGCCGCGAAGCCTTGCGAGGTCCGTTCTCATAGGTCGAGGGGCGCGTGCGGGTTTTGCACTCCGGCAATCGCTGCCCGTTGTGTCAAAATTGGAGTTTTCGGACGATTTTGGAGTAGCAGCCCTGTCCCCGAAAACGCGGCGCACCCAGACACATCGCTTGCGGGATGCGGTTGACTGATTGATCAGAGATTCCGGGTGCCTCAACTAACCCGTAAGTGCAGTGTTTGTTCTTCGCGAGAGGAGGCAGTGATCATCTCCCTGTGGATGGCCTACTAGTGGGTTCTCCCCCAAACAGGTGTCTCTCAACAGCGGGGGCACCCCCCCTCCCAGACGGGACAAGCCGGCATGTGGATGTAAGTGTAGGTTTAAGAAATGTTAGAGAAAGGAGCGGTCGCGCGCGGTCTGTAGCCCGTTTGTTAGGGGACTGCTCCGGCATTCGCCTGGATTTCATCGGAAAGAACATGGCAAAGCGAGCATTCGGCAGGTGGAGACAGCGGTGAAGTCGACGTAGCTCCCTATCCAGAGGCGAAGGTGCTGCCACCATCGGGGGGCGAACCCCGGAACTTCCCTGGCACAGGCTCCGCGGTGCATCAGTTGATGCCGTCAGCCTCCTCTCTCGGGATGCAGTCGCCTTCTCCGCCTTTCGGAGCGTCATCCCCGGGGAGGAAACACAACTCCTGGCGAGTGTAGCGGGGAGAATTTCTCTTCGCCCGGCGAAAATCTCCTCGCGTGGGCACTAGCACTGCAGTGGATACTTTGTAACATCATCGTGAGGTATTAAATAAAATATAAAACTTAAAAAACTAATATGTAACTTATAAACATCTAACTTTATTACTAATTAACAAATTAAGTTTCTAATTAATAAATTAGTTAATAATAAATAACTTCTCATAAATAACAAAAAGATAATTAAATATCACCCAAGAGGTTCTACCAAAAGAAGTACCTGACATTCCATTTTAAAAATTGCTAGTAACGCAAAGGAACGCAAAAACTATTCAGATTTTCGAAAAAATGAACATATACTTATTTAAACATCTGCTTTGGTGAATATATTTTATTAAAGAAATTTTATCTTCATTATTGTAGTTGTAGAAATACAGCACTTTTTATCATCTTTAGCAATTTTAGGAACTTTGGAAACTGCAATCTAAAACTGCGGCCTACGTCATCTCTTTATGTGTGTTTAGTTTTATCACAGTAAATAAATAAATAAAAATATTTTGAGCCATATTTCAGAAAACTTAAGAAGTGTTGATACTTTCCGTGAAGAAACTAAATTAAAATATTTGTTTCAAATTCAAGGGACCGCAACTTTTCTCGAAATATTCGAAAAGCAGATTGATCGGGAAATACCATCCTTGGCGGAGATTCTTCTTTCGGGTTAGATGGCGTAGTTTCGCCAGCGTAGTTCACACAGAGACGGATCGGTTGGCAGACGTTTCGCCGTCCATCGATTTTTCGGTTTCAAGGACCCACCAAACGTGAAATCTGACCAGAGGACGTGTTAGAGTATTGAATTGAATTTGCCTTATTTTACGTGGCGAGACTCGGGCCATCAGGCCCGCTCTTCCACGCAAATTTCGCTACGCTCCTTTCATCAACTAGCAGAGAAAGGAGGTATTTCTGGAGCGAGATACAAGCGATTTGAATTTAGCTCAGAGGCGCCATTTACGCTTGAGGATCTTTTTTAATATGCAAGTAAATCTACTAACACGGGCCAGGCGGCTTTACTTCCCCTCCGAAGGAAGGCTTACGGGCTTGGCTTCGGGAAGGCACGGCTTCGATCGGGCTTGAACCTGCCCACTTGAGTATATTAGTCCGATAGGCTAACCGTTACACCATCGCCATGCGCAAAGAGAGTAAGTAATTTACTACACGTAAGAACAAAATGCATCCACTTTTTCGTTAGCATGGTTGGCCAATACGAAACTAGCGAGGAAACAATTTTTTGGACGACGAAATTTTGAGATTTTTCTTGTGCCAGGGCAATAAATCCGGAGGCCTCGATGAACCGCAAATGATCCCATTTGCATTCCTCTCGCTGCGCCCTGAGCGTCTCCGCTCGTGCCGCCGCTTCTTCCGCCGACGAGCCCTGCGGTGCACCAATCCAGCCCGCTTCCGCGCCAGCGGCCGCCCCCGTTCGGTGGCTCCCGGGCCCAAAGAGGCCCTGAGAGCACTTCCGAATTCGGGGCGGACCCTCCAGCGCTGCACCTTCCTCCGCCCGGAGCCCGAAGGGCGCGCGCTCCGCTGCAGAGGGCGAGCCGTGGCGCGCGGCGCAGCGGAGGCCCAGGGATGTCTTCTAGGCCTCTGTTTGTAGCACATTTGTGCACTCAAGTGGTTGCGTCATTTGCGGACACGTTTTGCACATTTTCGAGTTTCAATGTTAATATTTAACTCTGACCTATGATGAATCTGATGTTAAATTATTTTTTTCTTTACTTTCAGGTGAAAGTTTTCGGTTTTGTTTCAAATAAATGTTTTTTTTAATCGTGAATGATGCGAGGGAACGAACATTTAATCGAGCTACACACCGGAATTACCTTCTGACCCAGATTTCCTTTGAACCTCACCTCTGTCGAGGATCTCCGGGACCTATGAAGCAGGCACCATGTGAACGGCTGTGGTGGCCGTCCTTTCATAACACCGACGGGGTGTTGTAAATACCCGTCCAGGACGATCAGTGTTGTGACGACGCGTTGCCTCGGAAAATAAATTAGACATAATCTGCTGGGTCCACAGCAAAACTGCTCCTGACAATGTTTTTTCTTGTTTGTAGTTCAAGCGGAATAATATATTTAATTATTATTCCTTGCATATAAATTTCTTTTATTCAAGAAAGAAGAAGCCTTGATTACGAAGTGAAGCGGATTTAAAAGAAGGTAACGCTTGCCTCAACGACCCTTGTGGCGCCTAGGAGTGACTCGCGCTGACTCCGTCAGTTATCCGGCTCGGATAATAAAG